ATAATGTCATAATATTTTAAACATGTTAAAGACTTTGTTTTTTAACAATTTCAGAGAAGATATAAAACAAATCAAATTCCACTAATGGTTAAGACTGGTAGACTTTAAAAAACAACAACAACAACACTTTAGACCAGTGACAAACCAGCCAGGTTAAACTCACACTGGTGTGACAGATTTCCCCCCAGAACACATTTGCATAATAAATACATTTCATCACTGTAGTATTTAAACTTAAAATCTCTATCCACGTACTCCCACTTCACCTGAAAAAAGTTGAAGAGCTTAAATAGTTTAAATGACACAGAAACATAAAAACATTTTTTGGATGTAGCATCAAGAAGAAGAAAAAAAATCCCAAAGGCTGAGGATTCTCCCTCAAAAATCTCTCAATACCTGCCCCGCTTTTGCATAGATCACCATAATTATGCAGAGTTGAACTTTTTATGCATCCTTACATTGCATACATGTTTGGTCTATTAGTATCTATTAACTAAGCTATTAGTTCGGTCTAGTCAAAACCACAACATAAAGGTATCCAGCATCTGTACATTGCAATGTTGATCATGTACAAATCTCTTTACACAGCAAGATACAATTTAAGCATTTGGCCAAATATTTTCACTTGCACCTAATCATCTACACAAGAAAAGATGAGAAAGACTGAAAGAAATAGCTTGGAGAATCACGTTTGACTCACAGATGTGGTCGTGGGGGGTAAATCCAGCAGCCTGTACGCGCTCATCACGGAGCTGTTCCACGAGGAGAGGCTCTCCACGATGCGCGTGCAGTTCGAGTCTAGCGTCGGACACGAGATGCCCCTCCTCACCGAGCGCACGGCGCCTCTCATCACTCGCGCAACTGACAGAGAGCCGTACACCGGAAGACTTTTCAGCCGGAGATAAAAGCGTTAAACGCGATTAGAGCGAGGGTTGTACAGATGTCAGATTCCGTTCAGTCTGCGAGCTCGCGCCGAGTAGCCCTGTGACAGCCTCGCACACTTATATCATACGCACACGAAGACGATTGTTATGAAATTAGAGCAGCATAGTTTTTATTTTTGTTATTATTAATGAAAATAGAACAAATAACAAACAGAGCATAGCATAAGACAGTCAGTGCTATACAAAGTGTGACATTAATTAGTAACGGGAACTGAAAATAATGTCATAATATTTTAAACATGTTAATAACTTCTTGATTTTTAACAATTTCACAGAAGATATAAAACAATCAAATTCCACTAAAAATACCTTAAATATTGGGGATGAATTTAAGCATTTTTGTTTATGTATATAAAATTTTGCCAGCAATATGAATAAATTAACAATGTATTCAAGACCTTTGTTAACATTGTTTTCATAGTACACAATAATATCCTACTGTTATGTTTATGGTTTGCAACTGCGTGACAAGACTGGTCACGTGATGTCATCACTGCGGCGCCCATGAAGGGGCGACCCGCTCCATATAAAATAAAACCGATTTTTCTTTTTTTTTTAAAGGGGTCATATGATGCGATTTCAAGTTTTCCTTTCTCTTTGGAGTGTTACAAGCTGATTGTGCATAGATAAGATCCCTGAAGTTGCAAAGACTAAAGTCTCAAACCCAAAGAGATATTCTTTATCAAAGTTAAGACTCTGCCACGCCCCCCTAAAACGGCTCGTTCTAACACGCCCCCACATATCTAC